TTTTTTATTTTTTTTTTTTTAAATCCTTATCCAGTAAATCACAAATAACTGGAAAAGTCATGGGGCCTTCTGATATTGTTGTAGACAACGGGGGCCATGGAGTCAAAAAGGTTGAGAACCACTCCCAGCAGGCACTGGACGTCAATATAACGTCAGTTTGACGTTAGACCCCAACGTCGGACAGACGTTGCATTTTGGTCACCCAAAGTCGCAACCGAAATTTAACCAAATATCAACGTCTTATGAAGTTGTGTGCCTGCTGGGCTGTTGTAGGTTATATAACTTAAGATTTGTATAAGGTTACAAAAGATTCTAATTTAATAACATCTACCAAGACATTTTAATTTTTTAGTCTTCTGTATTTTTGCTTATATATCTTTAAAACTGCAGTCCGTAAATTTTGCCTCTTTGTCGCCATCTCTGTTTGAAAACCTGCAATTGCAGCTGTGTGCGGAATTATCTTCCTTGCGTGGGTTGTGCAGCGGCACGGCTCCAGCGCAGATTAATCTAATTGAGGAGTATGTGTGGCAGTCAGTCACCGCACCGGTGTGGATATTGTACTTTGCACTCACAGATTCTAGCCTACATCTTGGAATATATGACTCAAATAAGCATTTTCACCGGATATTGTCATCTGAACAAGTAAATAACAAGTCCGCCACGTTTGTTCTGATCAACTGAGGAACAAAAACATTACAATCCCAGGCTATCTGTAATCAGAAGCACATTTAAATATATATATATATATATATACACACACATATTACACATAATCTTTTCTGGATTACAATCCGCCATCAAAATGATACAATTAATTATTCCAGCTGCTGTGAGAAAAGGCTATAAACGATCCTTGCATGCGATAGCCTAGTAGCCGGGTCAACTTCTTTATGTTTACAGAAGTGACGCAATGACGCAGCAGCATGCTCGAATTTCCCGCTAAAACCTACCCGTACCACTCAAATTAGAAAACATTATTATAAACTGAGCGTTGTGAATCGGGCTAAAGTAAGGCGATATTTTAGAACACCGGCTGGTTATGTACTTGCTCAAATATTGATTTTGGATAATTTTTAGCCAAAAAAAGTTACAAACTGCAGCTTTAACTTGCATAATTGTTCTTCTAAGGCAGTGATTTGATTTACTGGAATGTACACCAGTGCATGGCTGTTAATTAAATCAACATCAAAAAGTGAAAGAAGGGCACTGAGATCAGCAGCATTGTGTCATTAGAGCATTGGGTATGTTTCTGGGACACATTGCCAATACATCTAAGTGCCTACTTTGCTACACTTTCTCAAGGACAGCATCTATCAACTTGAAATACACTATTGGAATCTTATAAGCTCAGTACAGAATGATTCACCCGATTTACTCTCCGGTCCACATAGGCCCTTGAGGTATGGAATACATCAATGAAGCACAGCAGCTCTGTGGTGTAAAATATTCAATTATGAGGCATTTCCCTGAGTGGCAGCGTCAATATCCAACATGTGATTAAATCCAGAAGGGATATTGTAATTAAAATTTGTCCAGCAATTGTAACCGCATCAAAGTTATTTGTCTGAAATCCTTTATTGACGTACTCAAATTAAATTTACCCACATACACTGTTGTTTCTGAAGATTCAAATTGGAGATTAGATGTGGGGATATTCTTATCTTCAGTAAGCTTTAATCTCATCTGTCTCGCTGATCATGTAGCATTCATGTCAGCACACCATAAAAAAAAAAATGGCTGGGGTATTAGTGGCACTTTACTGTTCTTAACAATGGAAATTCTTCCAAAATCCCACTTACTTTACCATTGACTACTTTATTAATTGTCACATGGTAAATGTACTTGTGCTATGTCAAATTAACAGTTGCATGGTTTACTATGGATTTCTGCATAAATTGCTCATAAAATGTGATCTTCATCTAATGCCCTGTTCGGACAGGACTCATTTTGCCTGAGGAGCTCAGGTATTTTTTTTTCTTTGTTTGTTTGTTTAACAGACATACCTTGTGAATTTAATCCAGTCGGAATCATACATTTCTCAGTAGTGCTAAAGGCGCAACAATAGACAAACACTGACTGTAAAAAAAACAAAAACAAATAACACATAAAGCAATGGTATTTTTTCATCTTCAGTGACCAGTTTGTGAACCATTGGATTTAACAGGTTGACCCTCCTTTGGCAGCAAACCTTCACCAAACTTTTTCTGTATTTGTGAACCAAACCTGCACAATGGTCAGGAGGAAATTTGCACCAACCCTTTTGACAGAACTCTTTCAGTTTGAGCTCAACTCTTTCAGTTCAGCAATTTTCTTGGGATGTCTGGTGAATCACTCACCATCCACAAAGCATCTCAGTTAGGTTGAGGTCAAGGCCGGTCTGAACCACTCCAGAGGGCATATTTTCTTCTGTTGAAGACATTCTGTTGTTGATTCACTTCTGCGCTTTGGATTGTTTTCCTGTTGCATCATCCAACTTCTGTTGAGCTTCAATTGGCCTTACATTCTCTTCCAAAATGTCCTGTTTAACTTGGGAATTTAGTTTTCAATTGATGGTAACAAGCTATCCAAGCCCTGAGGCAACAAAACTTCTCCAAATCACGATGGCCTGTCCATCATACTTTACAGCTTTTTCACCACACATAGCATTGTGTGTTTTTCCCCAAACAACTCAACTTTGGTTTAATCTGTCCAAAGTATATTTTGCCAGCAGCATCCAGGTGCTCTTTTCTGATCTTCAGACGTGCGGCATCTTTTGCAGTCATCTTTGCAGGACGCCCACTCCTAGGAACAGTAATACCAGTGTTGCACTTTCTCTATTTATAGACAACAATTTGTCTCACCGTGGAATGATGAAAATGAAAAGTTTCAGAGATACTTCTGTGACCCTTTCTAGCTTTTTACAAGTCAGTGTTTATTAATCGTAGATGCTATGAGGTGCATCTTGTGAAAAGCAAATTTCTGTTTTCATAGGGCAGAGTGTCTTTGACTAGCACTCACTGATTGGACTCCAAACTGTATTTGTCATTGGTCTAGGGATTCACATACTTTTTTTATAATTCACTGTGAATGCTTACATTTGTTCAGTGTAGTAAAGAAAATTCATCATTATTTTTGTATTATTTCTTTAAGCAGAAAATCAAATGTATGCAGAAATTCAGTTGTAATTCCATATACTTTTTCCTGCAACCGCATTTCAAATGCATTAATATAAATACAAGCAGAGTGACAGTATAGTGACAAAATATTTCACATTTGTCATGTAACACCAATGTTTTGTCCTCCAGTGGCAGTTAATATCCAAGCCTCATCGACACACTAGAGGCAATCATTAGTTTGCACTTCTCATCTACAGAATATGCCAACAACATGGAGTCAAATGATACTTGATAAGGTTTACGCCACTCTGAGGCAAATGCAAACTTATCTTCTGAAACAAGCTGTCAGATAGCGAAGATTGAGATAAATATAGATGGAGTGAAGGCAGTGGTGTTGCGGGACATTTCTGAGGTTAAAAGTACAGTACTTATTTCACCAGGATGAAATTATTTTGCCAATGGCAATTTTATGCTTCCATGAGTTTCTAATTCCCTCTGGCTCATGCTAAGTGTCTCAGCTGTAGCAGTCATCTCTCTTCTTCTTCTTCTTCATTTTTACCAACCCCCCATTCACCTACAGTAAATGACAATGAGTAGACTGTTCCTCCATCTTTCAGTTCTTTCTCTCGTACACACACATAGTGTGTACATTTAACAGTCAGCAATTCCTTTCTCAGTCGTCAACATGGATGGGATCCAGGCCAGAGCTGCACATTCGTGAGGTACTTAAGAAAAAATGCTGACTGTAGAGAAGAAGAGAGCCCTGTGCGTGCTGTCCGTGCTGCCTGCTCCCCA